CCTATCCCCTCGTGTGCCTTGCTCCCACGACTAAATCTTTAGAAAAGCTATCAATAAACCCATTCACCAAAATCCCACACTCATGTCATAACTTTTTTAAAGATCTGTGTCAAAATTTAATGATGATCCTTTGATGTCCTACTCACTTGGATGTGGGAGAGTCTCATAATCTCATTACTGTTGTATGTATGTATATATATATATATTATTATTATTTAATTTTTTTATGAACAATTAATTTTAAGAAAAATATTTCCATACCCTTTATTTTTAAATTTCATTTCACAATAGACCCGAAGTTTTAAAAGATATCTTGACGCATAAAAATTGTATATTTTATTCTTTTAACCCATTAAGCTAATTGAAACCTGTTTTTTTTAAACCAAACAAATCTAAAAGACATGTTTTTTTTAAAAATCATCTTCCCAAACTTCTAGAGAGAGAAAAATGCTTTATAGAGGAGAGAGGTTACCGAGAAGAAAAAGAATGAAGTGTTTGGAGAAACACAAGAGAGAGAGTGAACCCAAGTCACCTATTCTTTGAATCCCAAAACAGGAAGAGAGAAAACGAGAGAAGTTTTTGGTATACAAGTAAAGAGAGAAAAATGATAGGACTTAAAAAAAACATATTTTTCTCACATTTGTTTAGGTTAAAAAATAGATTTAAAATGATCAAGGGTTAAACGATATCTTTTGAAACCTTGAGTTTATCAAAAAATAAAACCTAAAAAATGAGATATGAAAATATTTTCCCTTAATTTTAGGGGAATGACCAGTTATTCCAACTTAAAGGAATCCTCAAATCATCTGCGTGCAAAATGGTCAATCAATTCTCTCTCAGCTCTCTCTCTTGATTTTTGAACTTTGGTGGCCGCCATAAAATTGAGTAAACCCAAGTCACCTAATCTCTAAATCCCAAAATATTTCATGCAATCCCACAAATGTTCATCTAAACAGGTGCATCACCCTCTACATGTCCACACTAAATTCATGTCAAGGCTCCAACGTTCTCATCAACATTCAACTCTTTGCAATTATGAGCATATTAAATGAATTCCAAAGAGTGCTTAGTGTCCCTAAGTGTCACTCATCACATCATGCATATGAACCAGATTCACTTAGAAAATTAGCATATGACAAGGCCATATTTGAAAGACCCATTAACTGAATCGAGTAGTCGCCTTAGTGTGACTTTCATATCTTGCTCCACATGTTCACCTGCAAGTCCGTCCACTAACAACAGTGAGGTCCCAACATTATCAAATTTGGAATTTCTAAGATATACTTGAAAGTATCATCTTCCTTAGTTAAATAATCTCTCACAAGAGACCCCTATGAGATTGTCGCCGTACTTATAAATCACTATCAAGACTAGAATCTAAATAAGTCAGCAGATAAAGGTCATATCCTCAATGAAGATATGGCCTTTAATAGAACATAATGGAGAACCAGGATTCATGTAGCCGGCTCCAATTAATTAGAAGAATATTAAAATGAAGACAATGATAAAGTTACTTTGACATACACAATTTTTTTCACGATCATATAGAATCTCTCTGTCACTCCCTCAAAAATGGTCATTCAAACAATAAACCTCAAGACACCTACCTAATTGTCTTTTTCATTAGTTGAGTGTTGCATCCAATCTGCTCTCCAAATGATTGAGGGGGCCAAGAGACGATCCACATTCCATCCAGATGACTTTAACTGAAAACAATCAAAAGACTGTTACTAAAGCAATCCAAAGACACAAAATCATCGGAAAATCTTCTAAACATGTTATTAAATGGCTTATTTTGGTCACACATTCTTATATAATCCATCCAAAACTGAGGGTATCAGAACCAGAAAACAGGGTAGGCTAGAGTTGCAACCCATGTTTTGGGTGGCAGAATAGAAAAAAATGGGGTTAACATGACAGGCTAGACCAGCCCTCCTGTATAACCTTAAGCTAGGGGATGCAGTTATCCAAGAAAAAGACCTACTTGTCATATAACTATTGCATCTAAAGGGAAAAAAAAAATCCCTTGGTAGTTCTGATTCAACAGATCAAGCCTTATAAAGTCTTACCATAACTGATCTTACCTTAACTGAATAAATAAATCAAATATAAGTAAAAGAAAATATGAATACCCCATCTCTCTCTCTCTCTCTCTCTCTCTCTCTA